AGGGGCCTTCCTGCTGGCCAACGGGCTGAGCATGTTCCTGTGGCTGGGAGCCAGCGTGTCCCCAGAGCTCATCCAAGGGCTCTTCAACGTGCCGTCTTTCGCGCACATCAGCACCGACGCCGTGAGTACACGCACACTAAGCAGTTAGGATTTAATGAGACCAGATGCTAATTGGGGAAACAAGGGAGGTGGTCTTTCATCAGGAACAGGTGACCAGCAGAAGGTGTTAAGACACCAGGAGTGTTTTAACTTACATAAAATTGTAAGCTGAACATTTCCAGGACTGCTTTCACAGCTTCTTTAAATCTTAAACTTTGACTGTTGTAGATATTAAAGTCCTAAACTGTGTATTGCTGAAATTGGAACAAAACACTTTGCAATAGTTAGTTTCTCCTGACAGTGAGTTTTCATACAGTGACTGTTTTACAATGAAAAATGGCTTTGGCAGGTGAGTCCTCAAGACGAGACATTTTTGTGAAGGAGATGGCATTTCCCAGTTTAGAATGAAATCCGCAGCTCCCTACACCATAACTATCAGCAGCTAGTCCAGTCTGTGTGAACTGGTAAGAGCTGTGACTGGGAGATAACCACCTGCCATGTTTCCCTTCTGACAGACATCCCTGCCTGACCTGGACAATCCATTCTCTAAGAAACTGAAGCATATCCTGGAACAACTCCAGAGCCAAAAGCCCCACACTATGAAGGTAACTTGTTTCTGCTTTACCTGTTCAGAAGAACACTACAGGCTTTGTGAAAACTTACCAGTAGCTATAAAAGGGTTTTTTATGTATCAGGAGTTTTCCTGCACATCATTGAGTTCCAGCATGATTTGTAGGCACAGGCATCTCAAATATGCTTAATTCCTAATCAAAACTGACTTTCAAAGGTAGTCAAGTCTAAAAGGTAACCATTTTATTCTGCAACCCTTAATTCACATTAATTTCTCCTCTGTTCAGCTACTGAAATGTACTGAAAACTACTGCCATCTAGTATGACTGTATTCTAAATTATCTCTCTCTTTTCAGCTGATCATAGTGAAGCAACGGGAACAGCCAGAGATGCTTTTCCGACAGTTCCTAGTAGAAGACAAGAGTATTTATGGAGGAGCCTCTTACGTGGATTTTCTCATCTGCATTCACAAGGAGATCAGTCAGCTGCTCAGTTAAGGCAACACTTAACATTTCTCAGTTCCTTTTTCCCTTTGCAGGAGGGATGGACAGTCCCTGGTGCCTTAAGGCTGGCCCACAGCTCCACCAGGCCCAGGCCTTCTGCTGTGCTTTGCTGACCCTCTTCTGTGCTCTCTTTGGACAGTTTCACTTGGCCCCACCTCTCCCCGAGTACTTCGCTTACTTACTAAGCTGTAGAATAGGAGGTTCTGCACTCAGGTATAAATCTTCTGGAAGTCCTGACTCTTTCTCTACGTCAATTGTCAGATTTCAGACTGTCAGTGCTTAAGAGCATATATGGTACACATTTCTTAAAATACAATTTAGAAAATTCTTAATTATTCCTTTTACTAGACACAAGTTGTACAAGAGCTGGCAGAGATGCTCAGAATCTATACAGAAGTGGAAAAAATACAAAACACTTCTAAGTGAGGATGTACAGTTGAATCAGATTGGAAGTAAACACATAGTTCAGTTTGAAGGATTTCAGAGTCCTTCCTGGGAAGCGAATCCTTTTTTTCCTGGAAGGGACAAGTGCTACTTTCTACAGAAACAGAGCTCTGGGGACCCTTCTACGGCTGGGGTTATCCAGGACACAAATGCCTGTTTTCTAACTGGACTTGAGAAAGTGCAACAACAATGGGGACCACAGAAGAACAGTAATCCAACAATCCTTTTGCCATGTTTGGCAGGTAATGCCTCCTCTTAGGGGCAGCAGTTAGCTTTTTACAATTGCACAGGTTAGGTTTTATTTAGAACATTTGTTAACTGGAATATTCCCAATACAACTCAGAAAAATCTGTCCCTCAAAATTTCAGTGGCAGGTCAACTGTGAGGCAGTTGACACATTAACCAAAGGTTATTTGTGGTGCTATAAAGCCTCATGTTTAATACCAGTTCTATTGCTGTGATCTCCTCTCACATGACTGATATATTCAGTGGTCACTGCTTTGAAAAACAAGCCTCTGCTAATACCAATATTGAAGGTAGAATTTAGAAAGCCAGAGCCTTTGGAACAGCTGTTTACCTCAGATACTTCATCAGTGTGTCTGTCTCTGTAGGACCAGTGCCTCTGTGGGAGAGGTTTGAACTTTTCCAAACTTGAAAAGCTATTATTAAAACAATTAGTGTTTCAAAGAAAGCCAAAAAGACTCAAAAGTAAGGCTAAGCCTCAGTAAAGAAAAAAGTGCCTTTAAACATGTTAGTGTTGCTACTTAGTATTAATTATTTAATATCCATGATTGATAAGCAGTCAAAATGTGTAACTTTTTGGTTCAACAGCTTATCTATACAGTCCTGTATGTGTCATTGACCAAGAGCTCTTAAAATAAGTGGCTGTATTACAAAAGGTCCTCAGCCTGAACTGAGCTGCCAAGACAAGCACTTTTTAGCTGTAGACATTACCCTGTAAAAAGTATTTGTTGCCATTCCATTTGTAAAATGACACCAGCAACTCTTTGTGTAAAGAAATAAGCAATTATTAAATATAATCATCGTGTGTATGTTTGTTCTTTCATATACCAAGTTTTCTATGGCCATGCATCCAACAATTAGTACGCTGTAGGTCATCTTCTCCTACTCCAAGGAGAGGCAGCTTAGCTGGCAGCCCAGCTTTTTCTGAGTGTTTCATGGTTGGCATCACCCCCAGGTATGGTTGGTAGAGTTGACTGAATGGAGCAGAGTGTACCTGTCACTTCCCTGAGTGCTGGCAAAGCCCAGCACAGGGGCTGTTCAGAACCAAGCCCAAGCAAGGCAGAGCTGTTACACATGCACAGCTCATGCCAGGTGCAGTTTGGGTTACCTACATTAAGCCACCCAACAGCCAAACCAGCACTGTTTGGCAGCGATCATGACAGGGACAGTCACCACACACATGTGACAAGTGCAGTGCTTGGCTCTGCAGAAACAGCAGGACTGTAGTGTTTAACTCAGGTTTACAGTAGTCAGGCCTCTTTTTTCCTTTGTCATTGCTGTAATAATTACACAGAAAATTAATTCCTGTTTCACTACCAAATTTACCTACTGCTTAATTTTTCAGCTCATGAGAATGACCCTATTATGGAAGGATTAGTGCAGCCCTCCTCCATGTTAAGTTGACCTTCAGCCCATTACACAACTGCCATTTCTACTAAAGCAATAAAGCTGCCACCAATTTTCAAATGAGAGAACATCTTTTCTGCTATATACAGAAACAGTGGGTTCTTTTATCTATCAGTTTCAGTTACTCGTTGTATCTTTATAAAGCCACACTGAAGAAAGACTTAAAAATGTTTTCAATGTAATGAGCTTGAAATGTTCATTTATTCTTTATTTCTAGAGTGCATTCTGGATATTAAAATCCTTGGCAGGGCACAGAAAAACAGCTGAGTATTCTAAAATTAATTCATTGACTTAATGCCAGTTATTATCAGATCAAAACTGCTATTTAGTTTGCAGCCTAAATTCCACTCCTGAACAAAGCATTCAGCACCTCTGAACACACACAGTAAGCCTGTGCTGGGGAAGACCTCAAACCCCCAAGAGCATTGACTGCCAACCTACACAGCACATCCATCACTCCAACCACCTCCAGCTGTGGCTGATTTACACACAATGATCCACAGGTGATTGTCTTGAATTCCCTCTGAAGGTAAATGCTGACACATCCTGAGTATCTTGTCAGTGCAACTGTCAAATTCCTCATTTAATTCACAGAGGGTGTAAGATATTCCAAGTACTCTAAGCCTCTTCCAGAATGGGAAAACATGGCAAGATCTAGACAGGCATCCCAACTCAGACTGCAGGCATTATGCATTTAATAGAACTGGAAAAGAAGAAACGTGTTAGGCTCTTTATCTTCAAGGATAGTATAGTCAAATGAGTTCTGCATTCACCTGGGGTAAAATTCATCAGCTCACTGATTCTGAGCCTTATCCCCCTCCTGTAAAGTGTTACAACTGAGAAATTAACTGACACCAGTAATGCAATTAAAAGCCTTTCATCTCTGGACACCACTTTAGATATGGTCCAAATCACAGTGATTAGGAAATGACCAGATGCTTTTACCCTCTATAATGAGGTGTGTGTAATAGTGTCTCACTACAGTATTTTCTAAGTATCATCTCCTCCACCACCACAAGGACATGACACCAAGCTTTGGGTGTGCTGCTGTCTCACCTTTACAGGCCATCAGTCTGTCACTGCTGGAACACCACCTTCCCATAATGACCAGCAGGTAATTGTTCTTCATGGAGGATGGCTACAAAGGTGGAGTTCCTTGTCCGTTAAACTCAATTAAAACCAGCACTGAGCTATCAGCAATGGGCATGTGGTTAAAAGGGGGAAATGGAAATTAACATTTTCTACTCATAAAAAAAACCCAAACACCTAACAGGTTTGTCCCTGGCACAAAAGCAGTGGTCCTAAGGTTTTCTCCAGTATTAACTTTTTGAATAACATGACTAGAGCAAAAATCACAAAGTTTCCTTACTGTGGCATTTACCTTCTGTCAGATGCTGTTCACGTAGCCCATGGCTGACTTCACTGATGGCCAAAAGAGCACCACCCTTAAAACACCCCCCCCAAATCCAGTCACTCTCCAGATGTGCAAATAACACAGGAAGAACCAACTCATAAACAACAGCAAGTTCCACCAGCACTGTGCCAATCCCCTGCCAAGCACACTGCCCAGGCCAGGAAGTTGATCAGACCCTCAAAAACACCTGTGCCAATATTCCTTGCACCAAAAGAACAAGTTCCTGTTCAACAACAGAACAGAGGAAACCACTTGGCAATTCCAGAACCTCAAAGGAGAACAAACCCATAAAATATGAAGAAAAATATTTCAACATTAGCTTTGATAAACACGTTTAATAATCTGCTACTTTACAGGACAGCTATTTAAAATCAAAGACCCACAGCTCTGACCTTGAGACACCAACAGCCAAGTTTGTTCAGCCTGCCAAGTACTGACCATGAAGCTCAGAGCTGTGGTTCTGCTAAAAACATCGTACAAAGTGAGTCACTCTCTGTCCACACTGCACTGGAGCCCATCAGCAATAGCCAATATTTCCAAACGTGTGCAACTCCCACAGGCAAAGCCAAACACTTGGTTTCATTACCCTGTTCCCAGGCCACAAGCTTCAGGAACTGCACACATGCATTTCCAACCCGCCCTCCAACAAGGTCACCGATTCCTCTGCAGTGACACTTGTCTTACCTCCCAAAGAACAAAGTGTTACAAACACACAGTGGGTGTAAATCCCTGCTCCAGGAGCAATCCAGACCTTGCAGAAGTTCTGGACTGCACACAAATGCACAGCTTGGTGCTTTCCATGAAGCACAACACATTACTGCACAGAATTACCACTCTCCCCAATGAAAAGTGAATGCACATACACCACAAATTAAAAATTGTTCCCTATTCCCAGGAATAATTTGGGAAATTTAAACCAAATAAGAAAAAATAGAATTCTATTTATTCCATTTGCTCCTTGGTTTCAGAGAAGTTAAAATAGGTGTCAATACAGACACAGCATTTTTTCTTCCAAAAGACAGTATGCAAGTCAGAACTGCATTTCATGCCCATTCCACAATATTAATCCAGATCAGTCCAAGCCCAAACCTCCAAATAAGGAAGAGGAATCCGTGTTTTGGAGAAAATGACAGCTGAAAAGAAAGCCCCCACCCCAAGTTTCCTATGAGTAGAGCAAGTACCTTCCCTTCCCTCCTTCCCATGGTGTGTGAAGGGATGGTGCTCTCTGCTGTGAGTTCAGTGCTGCCATTGCAGGAGCTGCCAGCCAGGGCTGGGGCTGTGCCAGCCCAGGAAGACTAGAACAGCTTCACCAAAACCAATTTCACAAGTCATCTGGCTTGAGACTCCAGAGGAATTCATGTCAGGAAAAACAAGACTAAGAAAGAGATTCAGAGATGGGGCATAGGACGAGGCAAGAAGCCATTCCCTCCTCAGCGGGTGGGGAAGCCCCCTCGGTGGGTCCCTCCCCGGCCCCCTCGGAAGCCCCCCCGCTCACCCCGGAAGTTCGTTCTGTTCCTCTCTCTGCCCCTCTCCCCCCGGCCGGCCGCAGTCCCTCCTCGGCCTCCTCCCCTGGGAGCACCCCCGCCCCGGTCAGACTTGGACTTGGGCGGCGGCGACTTGGGCCGCAGCCGCTCGATCTCCTCGGTGCAGCCCGTCAGGTGGGAGTTGGGAGCCGTGAAGTACGAGGAATATGTCTCTGCATTGAAGTTGCTGTTGGTGAGGGTGGGTCCCACTGTCAGCCAACCTGGGGAACAAAACCAGAGTCAATAAAAGCAAACACAAACTTCATGCTTCCAAGGCCACTACTGTCCTTTTTCCACTCAATGGACACTCAAGTGACAGGGAGAGACACTTGCCTACATGTCACCTGTACTGAATGGAATGAAAAAGTTGCCTCTAGGGAAGCAAGATCCATTTCCTCTGGTACCAGACTAAACCTGATCAGTAAATTCATCTACTTTAAAACAACACCATCCTTCTCCCCTTTTGAAAAGTTGCATCAGTTATAAATATTTATAAGTATAAATATTGCGTGTTTATTGCATACAGTATTGCAAATCTGTGCAGATAGCTCATGAGGGAGAGGTTAAAGGAGGATTTGAGGGGGGACTGTTTAACGAAGAGGATCAGTTTCTGGTATTGGGGAATTTCTCTCTTTAGGGGCCCAGGGTAACTTGATTTAGGTAACTTTGTCTCCAGAACCCAGTTGTGACAGTGCAGCCAAGAGCACAGCCTGCTGGAAGCACACCTCTGAAAACATAATAACTCTGCTGAAGCCCACATGGTATGAAAACAGACCTTACAGAGTTAAATTAGCCTGTTTATAGAAAAACATTCAATGGGCACTTCAGCTTCACACCAAGTGAATCAAGACAGGCAAACATTAAAACAAGCTCATTCCTATTTCTTCTAAAACTACAGTTTTGTGGCTGACGGATCTTCACATACACCAACAACGTATCTCCTTGAGATCCACAGGCCTGGAAACCTCTTTAGGACACTGACAGGAATTTTACAAGCAGGGAATTCTGCTACCTTGTATTACACATGATAAAGACATTTCAATTTTTAGAGCTAGCGTGGAGATTATTTCACTATTAAGTCCAGAAAAAAAAAGCTTAATGGAAAGGAAATATTCAGAAAATGAAAAGACAGAAATTACACTTTTCAGTAGTCCAGTAGAAAACTGAGTAACTGCAGCATTTATCTTCAATTAGAGATAACATGGAGAACAAAAGCATAAAGGTCTTACTGTTTTAGCAAGTATTTACTTCTAAAAATGAATATCTCTAAAACAAAAAGCCTTTTCTATGATCTTGCTCCCAAATATGATATTAAAATGGTAACTTAACTGTACTATTGTTTAGAAGGGTTCTCTATGATGCTCCTGCATCCTGGGCTGAGGATTCACCCCAAGACAGACATTCTTGCCAAGAAAATACTTGTATGAGATCTTTAGTTCTAGCAAAGCTTTCTGCTTCTTGACCACAAGGGACAGAGCAGAAGTCACTTTGCCACCATAAGAGTGTTGGGAGAACAGACAAGTGATGCAGTTACACACAAAAATACACAGTTATCCAGCTGGTGTGAGCCCTGGCAGAAGGAGAATGCATTAGGATTAACCATTATTGCCTCAGCTCCCAGCAGAACCCACCAAGTGGCCTGGGACGATGGAAGGAGGTTACTGAAGCCCATTAAAATGTAACTACTTGCCCAAACCCAAGGTCACAGTTACCTGGTCGGATTGTACTGTCCCTTCCAAAAAGGTGAAGCCGCCGTCGTCCAAGGCAGAAATGCTCAATAATGTGAAAAATCTCCACAGGTTTTTCTATGTTGCCGATTTCCGGCTCCTCAGTGATGATGAGGTCGATGTCGACGTTGGCGTGGATGAAGTCCCCGTCTGTGCTGCGGCGCACGGTGCCCTTGATGCCCATGAGGCAGTGCTCCTGTGACACACAGAGCACTGTCACATGCCACACGCACTGCTGTGGCAGCCTTCGAGCACAAACAGTTTTCAAAGTTCTCAGTCATAAAACAGACAGCAAATAATGTACTTTTTCATATTGTACCTCTTACAAAAGTAGCTGTCACCCTCAGATTCCTTTCTAGAAGATATTACTGCATAAAAAAATACAGCCACCATCAAACTGTCAATTCATCAGCATTAAAAATGTTCTTGAGCTGTAATAGCCACTGCCTCCTTCCTCTGAAACACTGCAGATCAATTTAAGTGACTGGTATGTGGCATCCATGAATGAGGAATCACCACGATTGTCAGAGGATGAAAAGAGGCTCCTACATACTCATTTCAGAGCTCTGTTTCTGGGAACATCAGGCTTGGATGAGCGATGTTCCCCAGGATCAAACACACTGACTCACTAAGCGCCGCCAGATGGCTCAAGAAAAAGTTGCAGACAAGAGCATGTAATCATTCCAAGATTTTGGGAAGGGTTTTCAGAGTTGGCAAGTAAATATGAAAGTCAGAAGAGCTGAGCTATCAAATCTATGCAGTTGGTCAACTGCACTCAAGCAACAGGGGTGCTGGACCTTGAATTTAACTAAAGAGGCAGAATACTGCTAAACAAATTACTCATCAGGCAAAGACTTGTAGATCTAGTCCTCAGCAGAACTACTTGGAACATTTACTTCCATACCACATGTCATTCACTCATACCTCAGATTCTCTAACAGGTGGCCCAGCACAAAGCACCCATCCAGAGATGCCTCAACTAACCAGAATGGAACAGCATTTGCTGCTGTAACCACTGGTAAGTTCACCTTGCCCAGCAGCCTATTTATTTAGTCAGAACAAACTCGCTCCATTTCCAGTGTTTATCACAAACAGTGACCTCAGCCCAACCCTCGCCCCATAAACAGAGAAATTCCCCAATACCAGAAACTGTTCCTCTCTGTTAAACAAAGTCCCCCCTCAAATCCTCCTGTGTCAGCTTTAACCTCTCCCTCATGAGCGAGCTGCACAGATTTGCAATACTATGTGCAATAAACACGCAATATTTATACTTATAAATATTTATAACTGATACAACACACTTTCAAACAAACTTCAGACTAATGTAAATGCAAGTCAGTGAAAGATTCCAGATATCTCAAAGGGAAGTTTATACTCCTAAAAATGGCAAATCTGAGACAGGGTTGAGGGTGTTTAATGCTAAGGAATGATTAATGAATGAGGAATGAGTCCTGAGGTTAACTGACACCTGGAATTATTAAACTGCCAGCCAACTCTCTTTTCAGTTAAACTGCCAGTTACACCCACATATACCCAAACCAATTATTTATTAATCCCATCTACATTTCTCTAAGTTTCGAATAACTTACATTTGAGTCTTTTAAATCAGACCACTTTTTTTCTCTGCATTTCCTTCAATACACATCCTCCAGAATGCATCCCTAAAAAAGTGTTTGTTTTAAACCAAGCTGACCCATTCACCTTTACAATCACCTTCGGGGAGTCAGGAGATCCTGGCTGAGCTCTGGTCTCTCACAGTCCTCTCTCTGCTTCTAACTCTGGGCACATACCTGCATGTGTGCATTTAGAACCAACGGCCAGCCTTCTATAGTTATTATTCTTTTGACATTAAATTTAGTCAAATTCTATTGCTAAGTTTAGATCTGTGAAACATGCTTTGGAGAAGAGAACTCTGAAGTTCTCGTGCCTGCTTTCCCAAAAGCCTGTCACCAACTCCTGTGGAGCACCAGGTGTTTCATTAGCAGAGACAGACAGGATGGAAACAGAGGAGCAATGGAGCCAAACCCTTACCTTGGTTCTTTGGAAAACAGCCTTAGGGTCTAGAGTCTTGGTCTTTCCAGGATTGTTCTTATTTGTTTTAATCCAGCAAATGTCCTCACATCTTCTGTAACCCCATTTGCGTAGACACTAAATATCATAAAAAAAGAAAACACACTACATCAAAAATGTAAGTACCCCAAACTGAACACCCATATAGGTACTTGACTTTTCTGAAATCATAGCTGGAAATGTCACAGATGAATGACAGTGTTTACTGGCATGAATGACACGTGTGTTGTCAAGCTGCCCCTAAAAATTAAAGAGGCTTATGTGCACATCGATTTGTCTACATATCATCTTTTTTTTTTAAATATTTTAAAAAATTTTATCTCAGTTTAAGACACAGTAGCACCTTTCTTCTGGAATGAATACTTCTGGCAGAAAACTATTGAGATTTCTGGTAAAAAAGCTGTAAAAGCACTCAGGATGGTAACCTGCTCCTATGAAAACCGAGACAGCAGTACAGCTTTCTAGACCCTATGGAATTATGTTTCCTCTCTAGACCCTATGGAATTATGTTTCCTCTCACCTTCAATGACTCATCTGGAAAATAACAGTATCTAAACACTTAATGCCACTTAAAATTACATATCCTCTACCACAGTAACAAAGCATCCCTCAGGAGTTACCACTGAGAATTCTATACAGGAAAAAGTCAACGATAAAAATAAACTCTTAAGCCTGTCCCTGATAAATTGAATTAAAACATCATCTCACCACTCGGCCGAGATCCAGACCCTCGCCTGACCCGCACCACAGAAACACAAATGACCTTGGGGCTGCAATTTCTTCAATTTCCAATTTCATGATCTAATAATAATAAGAGCAATAATAGTGTTTCTGAATTAAATACAAATCACCAATTATATCAGGAAGAATACTAAGTCTTGAAGCAATGTCGCAGGAAGCACTGTTTTGGAGATGTTAGCCTGTATACACTCACAGCCAAACTTTTAAATTTGTTTTCCAGAAAGTATCTTGTAAAAGTTACCTTGCCAGTACCCAACTGCATGTATACAACTCTGCTGGTTTTGGCTGGGGTTAGAGTTAGTGGGTTAAACTATGAAACAAATATTTAATACAAAATGTTTCTTTTCATCCATGGAATTACTTGTATGAAGGTTGTGAAGACACCTTATAAAAATCCCAGTTTAATTCCTATCACTATAAAGGAAAGACATTCTCTCCATTTTCACTTTGAGGAAAAAAAGCAGCAAGAATTTTCGAGGACAGTGGTTCAACTCTGACAAATCAGTAACATTCAAGATGAAATAACTTCAGATGCAAAGCATCTGTTAGTCATCACAACTTGAAAGGATTCATCTGTAGCTTGCTAACACATCAAATCAAGCTTCATTCAGTGCCACTATGAACAAAAGTAATGCAGTAGAAGCCAAACTATGACTCCAACACTCCCAGTTTTTCTGTTAGGATAGAATGTTTTTTCCCTGGGCAACATGGCCAAGCACCATTTGTGCCTGATGTAACAGGCTGGCTAACACAGACACCTACTCCTTCACATAGTTACCCAGTCTCTCATCACATCACAGGCATGAATGCCTTGGTTTTCAAACTCACTCCTTAAAGGTAGCTTGAATTTGATTTTGTTCTCATGATCCTTCAGTTTGACTGACTGCTTTTCCAGAGCTGACCTCATGGAAAAGGGAAAGATACAGAATGAACTATCAATACACCACTGAACTGATTAAACAGTAAGGGAATATATAACTACAAGAAAAAACCTTCCATGGCTGAGGTTTTGTTCACAAGTTCTATTTTGTTAGGCTTCTAAAGCTTACAATTGGTTTGACTGTTAAAATTTCCTACTCAGACAATACTTGGAGAAAGGAGGATGTCAGTGAAGGAGTGAGCTTACCTATTTGGTAAACACATGTATGAAATCTTTTCCACAGCAAGAAAAGTACTTACATCATCCCAGGTCCAGCATTTTTCATTGGCAGTAATGCCAGTCTCCCGGTAGTATTCTTCCAGTGGTGGTTCCAGGAGAATCACATCAAATTTGGACTTCAGTTCCCTAATATCAAATGCTTCCAAGTCTGCTTGTAAATACCTGTTTGAACAGAAGATGATAGAACTGTTTGGACAAGGTGTAAGAGTGGTTTGAAAATTATACTCCACGTGGCACTTCTGTGCAGCCAGTTAAGAGCAGGGTCTCCTGTGTGGTTCACACAGCTCAAAGGCTCTAAATGTAGAGGAGACCCGTAGCACATCCTCACGGATGGATCCTAAATTGAGGCTGGATGCTATTGCATTACATTTTTTAAGTAGTCTTTCTCTTAAATAAACAGATTTTAGGATCCTCATTTAGCAAGCAGCAAGCAGATGCCCACACAGACCGTACAGCAGCATCTAGTACAGATTCACTGAAGTTTCTGTACGTCCATGGACTATTTAGGAGGAAACATCAACACTTAGGAAGCAAACACTGTTAGCCTGGCTAACACATTTCTGTTTTGCTTCACTTTGGGAAGTGTCATATTTTTAGAATTGCCATTTTTCATATATTATGTTCAAAAGATTTTGAAGGCTGGACACGCTTTTCAGGTAACAAATCAAGACTCCCACACGCATTGATTTTATTAAATACACAAACACACTCTCCTGACTCTCCTCCACACCTGCCCATCACTCACTGCTGTATCACTATCAAAAAAATGACACTGCCCTCCCCTAAAATCCTATAACCTTAAGGAAGCTGATCAGCAGATCACCACCTCCCCCTTCCCAAAAAGTGTGTGCAAGAGATTATGATTCTCTGTGTGTATTTGGTGTCATCAGAAGGCAGCACTGGATTACTGTTTTCCCCCCTTCAGTGCTTTAAGGCTAAAGAATGCCAAAACACACCTCACTTAGAAGAGCAAGTTGAGTCCTGCAATTTGCACCTCAGTTGTTCAGACAACTATTTCAGAGGTTGTGTGTGACTATCATTCAGTAAGGCTGTTTTCTCAGTACAGACTAGGACTGCTGTATATTCCAGGCATTAGGCTGACCTTCAGGCAGGTCTGAATTCCTGGCAGTAACGTGCTGCACACTTATGCTGTGTCTGACATCCAGCAAAAACTCAGAGGTAATTCCAAATCAACAGGACAAACGACTTCCAGTCAGCCTAAACATTTTTGGTCTTCAGCTACAAAGTAAACATCTAATTAATGGGTACTAAGGTAATAGCTGAACACTATACAAAAACCAGCTGGTACAAGAACAAAGAAGGTTATCTTAAGAGGCCAATTTTTAAGGCTTTTCTTATTATTGTAAACAGCATGACAACATGAGATTCACAACCACATTGCATTCTTTTAAATCCCAGACTAAAGCCTGCAGGGCAATCAGTTGACAGTTTGGTCAAATCAAAGCTTTAGATACTATAAACAATCACATACTGTGAAGAAAAACTAGTTTATATACTATATTAAAAATCCAGATTAAAATAACAGAAACAAACTAATCTTGTTCTTCTATGCTTCAATTGATTAATTTGTATAAACAGAAAAAGAAAATGTAAATTCTAAGCAGGTGCTGAAGATAGAGATTTGCAAAGCAGACAGCTAACTTCAAACAGGTCTGGAGAAGAAAGGCATTTTCCACAAGAACACTTACATGGGAGGAGTGTTAGATTTAGATATCAGCTCATCCTTCAATCTGATGAGCTCTCTAAGTTTTGGATATTCTTCAAACCTATCTGCTAAGCCTAAGAAGAAGAAAACATGAAGTTAACAACTACTTAACAGAGTATATCTGTATCAATTAAGCATTGTCCAGTATTCTGAATAGGTCCAAATGTTAATACTTAGCCTTATTTTAATTTTTGTTAGAACAAACCAAACCCTTCAAAGCAGTTTTTTGTTCAGTACTTGACAAAGTACTGTCCTCACCCAGCTAATTATGGCTGTTCCTTATGCAGTGTCTATGCTCCAATCTTCTCTAGAGCACTACAGAGAGCAGGAATTTACAGCTCCTATTACCAGAAGAAAACCACCTCTCACTTAAAGTCCCAGGATGACGAGAGAAAGCTATTTTGTTATCCATATCTGTAAGTTGCTGTTGAGATCTAACTAACACTAATTTACAGAATACTCTTACTTAACCTTTGAAGATTGGGGTGTGGCTGGTTCCCTGAGGCAACCCTTATATTGAGATTTGGTGCTCTGGTGCCAGTCAAAGATTTGAACACATGTTCCTACTCTGAGCTTTATGATGTCAATTTTTCAGCTTTTCTTAAGGCCATGTCCAGCTGTGAAATAGCACCCAAGCAGAGCTTTGATCATCAAGTAGAAAATGTTTCTGACCAATATTGACCCTGATATTCCTCAGCTCCAATAAAGGCTCTGGACTCACTGCTGCTGACATGCTCACTTCCACATTAACACTTGCATAAGCCTTTGTCCTGTCCCTTCCCAATTCTTTAGGCAGCAGAGAAGTCGTGGTAAATAACACTGGCTACAGTTTCTTTGGACTCGTTTCAAAGAGCTGAGCAGAACTACCTCAAGTACTTCACCACGAAGCCCAGGTGCTTTTCAGATAAAGACATAACTGAGTCCATTTTTCACAAAAAATATCCAAATGTGTTCCACAAAATATAGAGAAGAAACAAACTAAGGCCTCCATAGGCAAACAAAACCTCTTCGGGCTGCCACCTATAAACACAGCCCACTTTCCCTGACAAGCTTAAACTTGTTAAAATACAGAGAACTGTTGCATAAAACTACAGAGGGAGGTGTCCTGCTTATTTTAAAATCCAAATAACTACCGTGCACCTACTCTGGGAAACAGGACCAAACTGTACCTTAGTTATAGAAAGATTAAATCCAGGCCTAATCATTTCAATAACAAGTTCAGTGACGGCTGGATACATGTAAACTTAGAAAATAACATCCTCTAAACTTGGGCCTTCTAATGACCTGTCAGCACTTACAAAATTTAGCTGGTAAACATTATCCATATTGCTTACTGACTTCAACATATGTAAACTTCCATACTTTACATGCTACACACATTCTTAAGAGGCATTACAGCAAGTCTGTCACTCAAACTTGCAACGGTTTCAAGATCTGCTCATTAAACTCATCTACTTTCTGGAATCAAAAGAGCTTGGTTTTGAAAAAAATCTTCCTGCTAAATACTTTCAAGTAAAACCAAAGGTAAGAGCAGCCTAGGCAATAATCACCTCCTAACTGATGAAAAATAAACTCATTCACAGAAATGTCTTTATTGATATGTATTCACAGGCAGAGACACAACCATGGAGTATATGTATAGCTGTACCTCCCAGCAACTGTAAGGAATTTAAAAAGGGGAAGAAAGACAAGTGCTATCAAAGGAGTTCTCTTCAAACAGTCACTGACTGACATACCAACATCTCTGATGAAGTTCTGAGGTCTGTGGCCTGTATCCACAAAGTGCTGGCAGTAATCGTTGTGTGGATTTAAGCTCTGAGTGCCCTGGAGAACAGAAGGAGTTCAGTGAGAGCAACGGGCAGATAACTGCACACACACACACACACACACACACACACACACACTACATGTGCCAGTCTGATAAACGACAAAATAACAGATTATTTTCTTTTCAATATGCCTTTATAAGTTACACCAGTCAAGACCATCATTTTAGTTCCAAATCAGGCCCACCATTACTGCAGCTCATCATGATTTGACTCAGACCTTTATTCAGGATCAATGTAACACCAGTTCCAGTCATATCTTTCACAGGAAACTTCCCTACTTGAATTCTAGTCCATTACTTCAGCCTTTAAAGCTCTATATCAAATACCATCAACTGCAGAAGCAGTTTAACCCAACTATGCCAGCTTTGAAACACTTAAAATTGCAAAAGCAGCTCACCTTAAGAAAGGTACTGGAATCTTTGTAAATCTCTTCTTCATAGGGCAGGTTCTCTTCATCTTGCTGCAGCTCTACTTCATCCTTGGAAAGGAAGCAGGTATTACCAGTATGCAAGATCATGCTCCTTTCCTTACAAAGCACAGTCATAACGAGAAGTGGGCTGTCTACAAATGGACATTTCCTAAAACAGCACATCATGAATGGTTTCAGCTCCAGTTTTGGAGGGGGAAAAAACATTACCTATTCTCAAAAAGGTCTGCACCTCTCTCAGTAATGAGGTGGGAAGGGCCCCTGAAAGAAGAATAAAATAAGAGCCCCTTAATTTCTAGCCCATGACAGTGCAGCCAGTGCTTAATAAAGTGTAGAATTTTTAATTTTTGTCCCCCAAAACGTTCACTCCTTGGACTGAAACAAAGAATGTATTTTGTTGATATTCTTCTGTATTAGAACTTTTGAGCATTTATATCCACTCAATCATCTCTTATATTCCAACCCTGGCAGCAAAGTCCACAGTTTGCAGAAACAGCTCATGGTACAAAGTCAGTATTTCATTTCAACTGTCCTTAAAAGTAACTTTAAAATTTCCATTTTATAGCCTCCAAATTTACAGGAAACAGAAAATGTATTGGAATTTTTTTCCCCTGTTGGTGAGTTCATTCAACAGATTTCTGGAGTTCAGAGATCTGTTACACTGATGTATTCTGAACATCTAACAGAGAACTCAGAGGGAACAAAAACAAAAGACAGACTCAATTCTTCACATCACTTTCTGTTTTCCCACTGATCCCAAACCAACCCAGTATATAGATACATAAATATATAAATACAACTGAAGAGCTACTAAATAATATCATCTCCCATATTATTACAGCTTCATTTACCCTGCACTACACAAGCTGTCTCAATGCAGAATGAAAAGTTAAGTCTTCTCCCTCTATTTTGATCCCTCTAACTGTTAAAATCTTATCATAACTTTATTGTTATTTCCAAATTGGAGCTTTAAATCAACTTCTGAAATGCCTGTTGTGATAAACAGGTCAGATACCCCTTCCTCAATATTCCGGTGAAGAATTTACAGAGATACACTCTTTTCATTTGTTTGTTTAACCAGACCAAAAATATTATTATCAGAAACAGCAACACTGTTTGCAAGGAAAAGAAATTAAAGCAGACAAGCAGCAGCAAGTCTTACTCAGGCCAAAAAAAAATAGCTGAAAGCTTGAGTTTTACTAAAAACTGATGCTTATGCCATCAGTTACACCTGTTTCCCCTCTTCCACCTTTCTCTAAATCTCGGCCTTCTAATGACAAGCACCTGCTAGATACCACTTGAGTCACCCCAGTTCTCTTTATGCCTTCACAAGTGATTTAAAAAGAGTCCTGTGGCCACAAAACCCCACACCACCAACTTTCAAAGGGAAAACGGCACAGCCCAAACAGAGATAGAATGACACAGGTTCTCCTCCATTAATCATCCTTGTTTTCCAAATCATGCAGGGTACTGCTGAGTTAGGGAAACAAAAACTACCCACAATAATCAAACACAATTTTTTTTTCAAATTACTAGAAATACATTAAGTAATTACCATGATTCAACCAAGTAAGATCTTTGCAGCCTCCACAACAATGGCATAGAAACATCCCAAGCTCGCAGGCCACTGCTTGCAGAAACAAAGTAAAACTGGGCTGTCTCAAATTAGGCTGGCAGACAGTAAAACTGAACCACAGGTGTTTCTGTACTTCATACAAAGTTAAGACTCCACAAAACAGACACTCATACAGGTTCAAACAATTGAGTAAAATCACCTGGGGGTGCAGCAACAACCCCAGCTCTCAGAAGGCAGTGAAAAGCCTGGCAGTGGCAGCAAACTGTTTAATCCCATTGTCTGCCACTTCCAAATACAGACCAGGGAGCTCAACTAACCCTGGTACAACTGGTACAGTTCCACCAAAACACGAGTATTTCAGGAGTTCTTTAGAACCACAATTCAACTTTCTGACCTTAAAATATCCCTTATTCACTTTTGCCTTTAGTGCATCTCTTCCCTATCTCCAACCCCTATGGTGCCAAGGCAAACTGCCAGCAGGAAGCTGAACAAGCAGCCCCACTGCCCTTTGTTTTCACATCAGCCTGATGCTTATGAAGAACCACCACCATAAACTTGCACTTATTCTACAGAAAAACCAAAACCAGACCCACAAAAAAGCACCCCCAAATTAAAACATATTGCCTTTTTTTTTTATCTCAAAAACTGCTCTCGTGCTTCCCCCTTATAACAAAAAAGCCAATGCTCCTGTTCAGCCTTCTCTCAAAGCATCACTGTAAGGCCTTTGGGTGTCACTGGCTCACTTTAGCAAGCCAGGGATACAGAGACAAGGCACTTTACATCAGAAACACCCCAAATTTTCCTAACTGACGAATTTGTGGTATTTGCTCTGAACACTAATGGTTCAAGTCTATTACTTTTGTCTAAGAAGCATTAAACACAATCCAACAGGGATTGATCCTGTAAGGATCTAGATATTTCTATCAGTTCATATTACAAGACTAAATTCAAACAGGCTCAAAGTGCTAAGGAAAAAGTTATATAAATACAAATGGAATTTTACTGTTCTGATCTCCTTGCCAATAGGGAATTAGCACAGTCTGCAGGAAACAGCTGATGTCTCCACTATAGATGTTCTGCTTGTGGGTTTTAAGTTTCTTAAGTCTATTCATCTGTTCAACTGAATTTGGTCCGAGCCAGTGTTATTAAAATATTCTTCAATTTCAACAATATAGCAAGAGTCTGGTTACTTAGAAGTGGTTACATCCACCTCAGGGTAAGTCTTCCCCACACTAATGAAGAAAATCCTAATGATAAGTCATGTACTTTGCCAACCCAAGTGGCTTATCCACATATATTTCACAGGTAATTAAAATTTAGTTCTTTATCCACATACTTGAAGGACTAAAATAAATTGAGATGAACTGATCCCTAATGCAAGCATAAAAATTCCACTTCACAAACACTCTTCTGCGAGCTCATGACTTGTCTGCTGAACAAGAGGTACAGACTAACACTTTGCATGATAAAAAACAATGTCTGTCCCTTTACAGATAGACTTTAAAAAATTAGTCATCAAAAAACATCCTGTCATACATTAACTTTTTGGTTTAGTAAGACAGAAGATAAGACATTACAGAAAGATTTATAAAGCTGAGCAAAAATGAAACACAATGAAGCAAAATTTCAAAAATTGCTATTTTTTTAGGCATCCAAGAGAACAGCAGACACTGCATAATTTAATAAATACACTGATTCTATTTAACTACAGAAGCAAGGTTACTAGGACATGGAAAAAGGGCAGAGGGAGGATATATGCTGCAACAAGATCCCAAAACAAACCATGAACACAGCTGTATGATAATCATGCCTTTGTTTGACCTCTTTCTACCATCCATCTTAGCCAAAACACTGCATTGGATATGAATGGAGAAAGCTGCCAAACACCTCTGGGATGAGCATTTGAAAAATTAAGGGCATGAGAATTTGACAACTTCATTGACCATGGAGGCATTTTGTTTTGTTTTTTTTTTTTTTTAACTAAACTTTTCCTGGGCATTTTAGGTGCTTGAAGCACACCCCAAACCAAGCCTCTTATTTCCATTCCCTTAGAGTCCCTTGTTTCTTCCATTTATCCAGAACTACATTACTTGGCACTTAACAGACAGGTCAGAAGGCACCCTCAGCCTCCCCATATCTCATCCGACGGCCTGTAGCTCCTTCTAACTACACGGTTTTCTTTTGATACAACAAAATTCTGGTCAAGGGGTTTTTTGTGTGTACCCAAGAGCACCCACGCTTTATCACTTCCAGGAGCAGTGCTAAAACAAGCCTGAAAAATTGGGTCCTGGAGCATGTGCAGTTCAATGCACCTACGCCTGAAGAGAACCACGTAGCATCGACACCTCGGATGCCCCTGAGGGACACACATATTAGAAGTATCTATAACATCACATTTATTTTTATATGCACGCATATATATTTTAGAAGTCCCCCAGGGACACAAGAACACCACAGAAAAGTAATTTTTTTCTTTTTTTCCTTACCTTATATTCTTCAATCTCTTCCTCATCTGCTTCTCCCTCATCTGGATATTTACGTTTTGCGTTTGGTGCAGAAGTATCATAAGCAGCCCTGTGAACAGCCCCCCCAAAAAAATCCTCATATTTTCAGAAAACTTTGATAATCTGCCTTGACTACATGCTTCTGTTACAAGTTTGAAATTACTTTGAAACTCGATGACAAGCTATTCCTCTTTCAGTATGTTCGAGACCAGCACAACTTACTAAGGACAAAACTCCTGAAAGGAGAGGAATTTCCTTCCCTTTCTCATTTTTCTGTTCTGAACAGTACAGCTTATTTTAACCAAAGCAGTACATCTACAAAATTAAGTCTGGTCACACAAGAAAATTACTGTCACACCTGATAAATTACTAACATTACATGTGTCTAGACACGACTATTGGTCCAAAAGAACTTTTAAACTAAACTGCTCTTAACAAAAGCATAGCGGCTCTGGGACAACACAGGTGGCACATTCTGAATTCACACCTCAGTTTTCCTACGCAGCATCTTTTTAACACAAGAAACAAATGTGAGCCTGTATTTCCAATCTGTTTTGAGAAGGGAATAACCAGACACCCCTCGCCTTAGCCGAAGTTCAGATTTGGGTAATTAGAGCACTTTCTTTCACCGAGATCAACCCCATCCCGTTTCCAGGGCCTGTGTGAGTACCAAGCCCCCAGTCTCGAACAGAGCCCGCTCGCCGATACGGACCGACACGTCTCCCGGGTCTCGGCGATCTCCCGCTGCTCCTCCTTGCTGTTGAGCACGGCGCCGATGCTGTCCGCGTTCTCGGCCCCTAGCTGGACAGCGGGAAACACAAATTCACGCCGCGGCCACTGAGGACCCACCCCACACAGCCCCAGGGCCGCCCCAGGCCCCTCGCCCCTCCAGCGCCCCGGTGCCGCGGTAGCGGCGCCGCTGAGGGGAAAGGGCGGGCCCGGCGTACCTGCTGCGCCAGGAGCTGCGGCGGAGCTTCTGCCGCTCCCGGATCTCCTGCAGGCGGCTGTTCATGGCCGCGAACCGACCCGTCCGCCACCGCCACCCTCCGCTCCGCCGGGCTCCCGCCGCCCAGGCGTCACTTCCCTCACAACGCGTCACTTCCCGCCCGCCGCAATTCCCTCATGGGGATCCATGGCCAGGCTGCCCCGGAGTCACTGAGCAGACTCGTGTAATTTGGCCGTTGTTCAAGTACAGATATGAAATCCGTCTTCCCTCAAGCGCTGCAGTCCAAGTTCTCTCCCTCAGGCAGACACCCGGCTGTGCAGGGCTCCCCTCAGGCCGTGTCACAGCTCTGGCCACTTCAGCAATTAGCTGGGCATGGGGGCCCCTAACGTGGTTTTACCTCGAGCGGTTTTCCTAAAGTACATCCTTTACATCCAATTTCAATATCCAGTGTGCTTATTTCTAGGTTAACCTTCATGTTTTGCTTCCATCTTCTGATCCTTTAAAAACTTCTGCTTTGAGGGAGTTTTGCAGAATCTTTAGAGCCTTTTTAATCTGAATTTTGGTCTTTTTCCCACTTTCTCCTTTCGTCCCTCTTGTACATCCCGTCTGTGAATGTATGTAATCCACACTGCATGCTGATTTTCATTCTGATAGCTATTCAGAATGCAACAAGAATGAAAATTGAAGTACAGACCTGCTGTCTGCATTCAAAAGTTGTGCAATAAGTATCAGTCCCTTGTGTCTCACAAAAGGAAACTTAACAAAAGAACAAAGAAACATTACAAATTACCCCCACAACCATAATTAATACTGATGCTTGCTCTCCTGAAATAGACTGATTCTTCCTGTAATTGCCACACCCAAAGAAGAGCTGAGAAGGGACATTCAGCTCTCACAGTGTGGTGTTCCTCTGCTGGTATTTGAGTGCCAGACACTGTCACACTTCTGTGATACAAGCTGTTATTCTCCTGTTTTTTCATGTGGTATATATTGTATACATGTCAATCATGTTATGCAAGTCAAATTGAGAAAGATGCAGGAAGAGAAGGAAATGAGAGAAGTGCAGACTAATGCAAAAAGAAACCTTTTCCAGCTACTCACATTTCTCAGTGATAGAACATCCTACAAAAACAGTGGAGCTTTTAAATGTTAAAACCCCAGAATACCAAGAGGTGTTTTTTAATCTCCCCAGGGAATACATTACTATGTTATACTGTCCTATCTGTGGAAATGTTATGGGAAAAGAAATGTTATCTCATACTACTGCACACTGCTTTGATATTGTTGGCTGTAATGAATACAGTAGAAGTCCCTGAGTAACAAAATCACTTCCTCCTGGATGTGACACGATGAAGTTTGTGGGAGCCTGCATTCCATTTTTAGAACTGGTTGCTAGGATGAGCTGATCTTTACAAATATTAATGGCTATGAAAATGTTCTGCTGTATCCACACACTGTTTCAAAACAAGAAAGTTGTATATTTTCAGAATGCTCCATGCCTTTCTTCTCTGTGCATGCTGTGGTTTTGGCTCTCCAGCTTTGTACCCAGTCTGTGGTCAGTTGTTCCTTCTCTTAAAACAAGTATCAGGCCAAACTCTTGCCAGTCTGGAGTCAAGAGCCACACATGCACATGTACTGCACCATACTCCAATCTATATTTGAGTTTGATCACTCATATTGGTGTTTCAATTGCATCACAATCTTCGGTGGAATCATCAAAAAAGCAGGGAATCCAGCCTCTATCCTGATGGCATCCATGACATGGTGTCAAACCTACAAAAATGCAGTACTGGAGCTGCATCAGCCTCCCTGGGCAATCCATACTGGAGCTTTGTGGTACTTACAGTCAGACTTTTTTTCCTACTCTCCACTCTAAATACTCCTTGCTGGAATTTACAACCTTGATTCCATATGGACAGCAAGAGAAATGCATTTCATACGGTTTGCCATGAGCGTGCAGAAGTTATTTGCTTCTCCTCTGCAACAGTCCCCAGCGTCTGGGAAGACTCATCACATTTCTTTTCACCCTGCTGTGTTTCCTTCTGCCTCCTGGAATCACCAAGTCAGCTCTTTCATGAATGCCTCTTCCCCCACCTAGGATTCAATTGGACTGTGAAATACAGACATGATGTAGGATGTGCTGCAGGCGACTGACTTGCTTAAGCATCTCAGTGCAGTTATCCTGGTTCTTGACTTTGTTGAATTGCCATCACCCTTGATCCATTTTCCAGATTTTTCCCTTCAAATTTATGAAGCCAGTTGTTTCTCATCCTGTTTTTGTTTAACTGATTATCCTTGAGTACATTACCTTTCGCTTCTCTTTGCTGATGTGCATTCAATCTTTTTAATTATTTCTATTGTTGCAATAATTTTGATTTCAAATCCTGTCCTCCGGCCTACTTGTATCTACTTCCACTGTCAGGTGGTTGTGTAATCAGCAGACATTCTATGCCACTTTTTTTAACCATTCATAGCATTATAAAATATTTATAAAACACTAACAATTCATACTTGTGTTACACTGGCATATATTCAAGTCTAGGCTACTCCATTTAGCAGAAAACTGCTAGTTATTTTGTGTTAGTAGAAATTACTGTAGAAGTTACAGAGAATTAGGCCCAAACTGCTTAATTTAACGCTGTTTGCTCACTTTAATTGTTCTTCACATCACAAACCTCAAACTACATTATCCCCAATGAGATGCTCAATAAATTCATAAATTAAAGGCACTAGATGGAAATAAAAGTTTATCTTTTAACTCAAAACAGACAAATAGAAAAATAGAAAATATAAAAATAGATTATAGTAGAAAAATAGATGTTAACATGGACCAACATCACACTCTTCCTACTTCATGTCCCTTTCCCCATGCTTTTAGTCAAGTACCCAAATATACCTCTTTAAAAATATCTTTAAAAGTTGGTAACCTGAATTTTGGAGCTTATTTTGAATAAGTGATAGTATCCCACACCCAGTGACTGTGGCTGTGCAACTTTCCTACCTCTGCCTTGGCGGCTGTATTCCTGCAAGGAGGCAGATCTGACTTAAGGAGCGTATTGCAAAACCACTCCAACCCTGAATCTGTACAAACTCACTGTAAGACTTCCAATTTTGCTAAAAAATCTCCTAGAAGTAACTAAGGAGCAGCAGAGTTTTTATTAGGCCAGCACTGCTTGTCCTTAGCAAGCCAACACACAGCCAACAGAGCCTTCATAAACACCCTGCCATGCACTCTGGATAATTTGACAGGCATGTGCTGCGATTTCACACTCCATCTAGGTCAAGTTGCATTGCCATTTGATCCAGAGTTGGACATGTCCTTTGGGATGGACACCAAGCCTTGATGTTGCCTGTGCTCACAGCACACGAGCTGCTGCCTTTGCATCAACTGATCATACCTGGAGTTTACAATTGACAGGGATTTTGAATTCCTATTTAATTCCTTTGATTTTGTATAGCATCATATTTCGTTCTACTTTGTAGCAAGAATAAGTAACTTGCACACAAAAGTTTAAAAAATTATAAAAATATTTCTACTTCCCCTACATCGAATAAAGTAATTTCTTAAATGTCCTGAATTAAACATTGTTCTGGATTCTTCAAGCAGTATCCAATATTGCCAGATGAACAGCAGGATTGGAGCAGAGTTAGAGAAGCTTTTTGAACTGAATTCTGTTTTGCTGAAAAATGTGGATGGGCCAAGAGAGGGTTTTAAGACCCTCTTGCATTGGATTTGTTAAATTGCAGGGAATTGATTCCCGCTTTTAAGAATTCCTCAGATGAACATGTTTTGTTCTAGAAATGTCACAAACTACCAAAAACATAGACTGTATTCTTAATTCAAGACATTCTCTTTGCAGCTATTTAGGCTTGATGTTAGGAAGGATTTCTTTATCAAGAGGGTGGTCAAACTCTGAAGAAGGCTGCCTGGAGAGGTGGTTGATGCCCCGAGCCTGTCAGTGTTTAAGAGCCATTTGGACAATGCCCTACAACAGGCTTTAACTTTCGGTCAGCCCTGAAGTGGTCAGGCAGTTGGACCAGGTAATAGTCTAGTCTAGTCTAGTCTAGTCTAGTTTATTCTATTCTACAAATTCAGTGGTAATTTCTATAGCAAAAGGTAGGAGTTAGCTGTTTTACCTTTTTTCCCCCCAAGTCTCATGTCTTTTGGACATCAGGCTTCCCATCACATTCAAGAATGTGTTAAAATACAACTGGCTTTTTAATAGAAATGTCTATGCCTTAAAATATGCCATATGCCATGTGAAGAGAGGATGGAGTGCAGCTGTATGCTGAATTACATCTAGCCATGTATTTACTCATTTTAACACTGCCCCCAAATGGCCCCTTTCTCACTTTAACACTGCCCCCTTAGTGAGGCAGGACCAAATCTCTACTCATTATACAAACTTCAGTGATATTGTTTGTTCACTGAGCTGAATTTGGTCCACTCAAGGGCAGCACAGATCTGAGGACATGACACCTGCTGGCTTTACTACTACAAACCAAAGCGTTAAAGAAGTGTGAATGTGTTATGCTTTGAATAACAAAGAGCCATATTTCTATACATCTCGGTGTTTTCCAACTTAGACTTAACTCTATAAGCACTGAGATCAGAAAATATTATGTATCACTTTCCTGCTTTAGCTATGTTTTTCAAATAGGATATTAAAATAATACTGCCAGTTTTATCTTACAGTCAGAAATTGTGTTCTATCATGCTTGCAAAACAATCACATCCATTTTTGTGTTTTCATTTGGTACTTGTGCATATTTTATTTGATTATAATACTCTTACTTTGTCTCAGAGCTGTTTTGTGACCAGGTGTTTCTGTACAGAATGTTACAGTATATGGCAGCTTTGTACACTGAAAACCTCGTATGTCTGAAGTCTTTGTATTCCAGAAAAATCATCCTTATATATTACCTGATATCTATATATTTAATGTTTTCCTGAATACCTTCCACAGCTAATTAGATGGAGTATTTTTCCCTAAATTTATTGTTTATCTTCTTTTCCCAATCTCCCATTTACTTCTGTGTTTTCCAGAGCATTTACAGTGTTACCA